AGACACTTTCCCTGCTCCTAAGATGTTTTCTGACCTTCGTTATTTAAAACTAACACATAAATCATGAGTCAAACACTCTCTCTTTTGTCTGTTAAAAAATCAAATCACAGATTCATCCTGAAGGAAAAACACAACAAATCAACCCAGTCCCGGGGAACACTATGGAGATTGTTTTGCAATCATAAAACTATGAATCGGCTTGAAAGTGGATCAAAACAAAATGCATTTTTAATTCTCTCATGTTCCTATATATAACAGACAATTATTTTTAAGTCAAAGTTTCTGTTTAAATGTGGAATGAAGATTGGATTACATGGCACAAGGGCCTGCCTCTTGGCTGAGAAGCTTTCTACCTCTAAAGTTTCCTTTAGGGTCAAATGAGTAGAAACCTGACCTGGCCAGTTAACATTTAACTGCTGTGCAGTGGTTTAGGCTAAATGTTAGTGTTACATCTGCAACCATGTTAGTGGTTTGAAACGGCAGCCCGATCAGTATTAAAATGGCTGTGGGGAGCAGTGTCTTCCACTCGCCCGATGTTGCCCTAGCAGATAAAAATGTGCCTCACTCAACAGAATCCATCTTGCTATTTTATTAATTTCCTCGCATTAAAAAAAGTCCTATGTTTCCTCTCTATGAACACCTTTGCTGGACATGAGAGGACGACCAAAATCCAGCCTCCACTCCTCTCGAAGGAAGTTCCTACCCCGAAGCCCGGCGCTTTGCCATGGCCACGTTCTGTGTGCCCACCCTCGGCGTCCTCGCTGCGCTGCCAGGCCGAGGGCCCTGAGCCGCCCCGCTTGGCTCCCGGCCTGGAATGCAGTGCTCACTTTCCTGTACACAACCTTGTGTCTTCAGCATCCACTTTCCCTAGTTGGCTTTTTCATCTGTGTGCCGTCAGCCCCTGGCTGCGCCCCAGGGTGCCGTAGGGTTAATGACAGGGACCCAAGTGTTTGTTGATGAAGATATTCATGCCTAAAATGTGCCGTTTCAACCTTTTAAACAGACCTGATAAACCATCTCACAATTTAAAAGAAGTCTCCACAAACCTATTAAGACAAAGATTTACTTCACAAAGAAACTGGGAATGCCCTATCCCCTTTTAGGGAAAATTAAGGATTAAGATTTTTAGAAAGAACATTTAGGACAAAAAGCCACCAAACACTGATTCTGAAGTCCAAGGAACACTGTTGCTGCAAGAACTCCATGGTGATGTAAAAGAATGTTTTGAATACCGTAATTTTTTATTTTAGATGTCAAGAATAGCAATAAACAAATAAAATCAAACTTAAGAGACCTTGTGGTTGATTAGTGATATTACCTAAGGAACCATTTTTAGGGTCAACATAGTAAACATTTTTCACAACAAAAAAATATTATAAGGATCTTCAACTGGAAGCTCACCCACACATACTTTCTGTGTACATCGTAACTTGCTAATGTCATATGATATGTTTGGAAGACTGTAATTAGTCTTCCCACATTAATTTTTAGATTTTTAAGCTCTTGCAGACATGAGGTGTGTCCCAAGAATTTCTGCATCCTCACATCACATAGTGCACATAGGGTAGTGAGGGGCGGACCTGAGGCTTCCAGTGCCCGAGACAGAGGGCGCCAGAGAAGAGGCAGGGGGCTGCCCGGCGCACTAGTCTCAGAGGGGACGCATCTGGCTCTCATGCCTGCCTCTCGTGCCTGCCTCGAAGGACGACTGCACAGATTAAATGAGGTAACGCAGGGAAGGGTCCTGTACAGTTCCCAGTGCATAACAAGCACTTCATACCCGCCTGAACATATTTTTAATGAGCATCTACACATACCATACGCTGTTGTAGGTGCTAGGAATTCCAAATAGAATGAAATAAAGTCCTTATTCTCACGGAACTTACAGGGGAGGGGGAGGTGATAGACACACTTACCCATAGTTGGAATGTGTTAGGAGGAAATAAATGCTATGAAAAGGATTAAAAGGAGGGTCAGCAGACAATAACAAGGATGGATGTGTACACTTCTGCGCTATTTCCTCTCCTGGCGGTGAAACAGCTGGAGGCGGGCTTGCAGGCACGCAGGGAAAACGCTGCAGGGAGAGGAAACACCAAGGCAAAGCCCTGCTAACTGAGGAAGAGTGTTTTACTTCCCCTTTCCCTTAGTTTCAGCGGAAAGACCTGCTTTAGGAAGGGAACTGTGGGGCACACTCCTCTTAAGCGTTTTCATCCCCATATTGGTCAGGAAGTCTCTGAGCACCTGCACTAGACACCCCGTGTCCCACTGCTTGGCCTATTTAAGGATGGAGGAGGGGATCCCAGGGCTTACCGCCCACTGAGACAAGGGAAGAGTGGTGGACAGGTCAGCAAGACAGCAGGGGGTCAGAGAATGCGGGGCTCCAGGCCTCGGTAAGGTCTCTGGGTTTCTCACTGGAGACAGGTAATGAAAGAACTGAGCAGAGAGGTGATGTGACTGGTCTGTATTTGAAAAGGTAATGTATAGTAATCATTAGGGATTTAATAAACGGGACATGGCTACTGCCTAACATGGTTCTTTAACACTGACCTGGTTCACTTACTGAACAGCTGGGTGAGCTATGATATTCCAGTTGCTATGGGTCAAAAATGGTCAAACACTGTCTACAGGTTCAATATGACTTACCGGATAGGGCCAGTAGATGGGCAAAGAACGAGGGTTTTTAATAAAGTGTAAGTGGATTTGTATCCCAGATCCAGGACTCAACGACCTGTCATCTTGGGCCAGTAACTTAACCTTCTTCTCCTGGGGCCTCCTATTATGTGAAATGGGGATACAGCACAACTCAAGCCACAAGGCTGAACTGAAGATTAAATGAGTTATAATTGTAAAGCATTTATACACATAAAGCATTTAGAATAGTGCCTGGGGGCTTAATACAGAAGTGAACAGAGTAAGAAGTGGAATTCAGTCTTTTACATTAGCTTATAAATAAATAACTTACTACTTAAACCCTTCAAAACTACTTACCATTTTGCTAGGTGTTGAAAAAGCACACCTTACTTTAATGTGTAGAGACAGGGGCTTATTGGTCAAATTATTATTCTTTATATTTATATAAATCATCCTTTAAATAAGTAATCAGTACCTGAATTCTATGGCTCTTAACAGTGATGGATATTGGATACCTTAAAATTTTTGAGTTAAATGTTTTTAACTTTGCCCGCCAAGGCAATTCCATTTCCTCTAAGTAGCTTAATTTTAAAAATGAACTCATTCTGTGTTCTTCAAATGAACAGGCCAGAAACAACTTGCTACTCAAGAGTATTTGTTTGAAATTTACTTAGTAGCTTCAATGCAACTCAGTCTGAAAAAGTGTTCTAAGAATTTGTTTGAAGCAAGTTCACAGTTCAAACACAGTAGTCATGATTAACAGAAAAATCTCACGCACGTGTAACTCTCACAATGGTCAGTGATAGTAAATAATTTTATCTCTATTAATTGCACATCACAAAGGGTTTGCAATAAATGCACATTTAGTGACTGGTAATATTCCCAAGAGAACTACACTGCTGCAGCTCAGAAAATTCTTTCCCAGACTAACCATTTGAAGTCCATCATACTGCTTGGCAAACCCTCTTGCCCACCGTAAGATTATGTCTATAATTTGCAAATAGAAATGTTGACTTTTGCTTTTCAACTGGCACATGCTCTTTATTTCATTTCTTTACTGCGGCTGCATCTTATTTCTGGATGCCGATGCTATCACGAAGCAGAACACTGCGAACGCCATTCACAGCCTCAGAATTTCGTGCACCGCGCTGCCTGCTCCGGACCCTGGCTGGCTCTCGGAATAACGGGATGCGGCAACAAAGCACACCCAGTCCCCAGAGGCGCGCCCGCCGCGGGATAGGTCACTGCACCCGCAGCAGCGACGCCGTCGGGGAGACTAGGCGCGCCCACGCCGGGCCCGCCACTCCTCAAGCTCCTTCACGCCGCGCGGCTCTGGGAACCGGAGAAGACCGCGGGGATACGGGATGCGGGAGCGAGAGGCGGAGGGATCGTCGGGCTGTCCCACCAACGACACAGCGGCAGTCGGAGCCCACCGTCACCAAGTCCTGCGGAGGCAAAAGGGGGCCGCACAACTGATACAGCCGAGGCCTCGGAGCAAGGACCGCTCAACCTCCCGCTTCCCGTCCCCGCCCCTCGGGGTCCGTCGGGCCCCACACCCCGAGCCGCGGGCCGTCCAGAACGGCTCGCACCCCGACCCCTCCCTTGTCCTCCCGGAGCGCCCCCTCCCCGGTCTGGCCCGCCTCTGCCCCACGCAGGCGCACGCCAGGCCCCTCCTGTTCCCCCGCTCCACGAAAGGGGCCAGGGAGGGGGCGGGGCGACCCTCGGAAGGGGCGTGGCTGTCAGCCTTGACGCGCGCACGCGCTCTCGCACCTTACGGCTACGTGTCGGACCACGTGACGCCCACCACGAAAGTCCCCCGTGAAGCAACAGGACGTTAACATTTTTTTTTTTTTTTGGTGGCGGGGAGGGCCAAGAGAGAGCTTCTTAAAAAACTATAGTAACGAGAGGAGAGAATGGGGCCGGGCGGCGGCTAAAGCAGTCCCGGCGCTCCGTGGCGCGTCCTGCTGGGAGTCCCTGTCATCTACTGCCACAGCCCGCCAGCCCAGCCAGCCCTCGGCCCCCGCCCCCCGTCGACAGCGCCGCCACCCGGCGCCCCACACTCGCCCCTCCCTCCGCTCTCGTCCGCCCCGGGTGGCGACCCCGGCCCAGCATCCCGGCCGCGCTTGCTGCGCACCGCCCGGGCCCCAGCGCCCACCCTGCGGGAAGGAGCGGCGCAGCGGCGGCCCGGGGCGGGGGGCGGGAGGCGGAGCGTGCCGCCTGCCCCGCTAACGGCCGCCCTGCGCGGCCCCGCCCGCCGCCCGCCCCCGGCCCTCCCCACCCGCCGCCCCTCCCCCGCCGCCGCCGCTGGCAGCGCCGCCTGAACTGAGGCGAACTCCGCCGCCAAGTGAGTGAGGAGGAGGAGGCGGCGGCGAGGAGGAGGAGGAAGAGGAGGAGCGGAGTCAGAGCGCGGCGGCGGCGGCGGCAGCGGCAGCGGCAGAGGCAGAGGCGGCCGCGGCGGGGACCAGCCCAGAGAGACCCCGAGCCCGCGGCGCAGGCGGCGGCGGCGGCAGAGCGGGCGCGACCAGCGGAGAGAGCGATCGAGCGAGAGGCGGCTCGGCTCCTCCTCGTCCGGCGCCCAGCGGCCCGCGCCCGCACTCGGCCCGCGGAGACCCGCCTCCCCCGCCGGCCTCGAGAGGGACGCGCCGAGCCGGCGGCCGCGGAGCCGCGGCGGAAAGTGCCTGCGGGGGCGGGGAGGGCGCGCGGTCCGGCCGCCCGGCGCGGGAGCGAAGCGGAGCGGGACGCCGAGTCCCGAGCGGCCGGCGGCCGGGGCTCCCCGCCCCTCCCTCCTCTCCGGCGGCGGCGGCGGCGGCTGGCGGAGTGAGCTGCGGAGCCTGGAATATGGTCGGGGAAATGGAAACGAAGGAGAAGCCGAAGCCCACCCCAGATTACCTGATGCAGCTGATGAACGACAAGAAGCTCATGAGCAGCCTGCCCAACTTCTGCGGGATCTTCAACCATCTCGAGCGGCTGCTGGACGAAGGTGAGTCGCCGCGCCGGCCCCCGCGGCCCGCGCCCGGGACTCGACGCCCGCCGGCGCGCGGGGAGGGCGGGGAGGTCGCGGCCGGCGGGGACAGAGAGGCCCGGGCGGGGGGGCGTGGGGAGAGGGCGCGGAGCCGGGCTCGCGGGGCGCCGCGGGCGGGCGGGCGGGCAGGACGCGCCCCGGACCCCGCACCCCGCACCCCGCACCCCGCGCCACTCGGGCGAGCTCCGCGGGCCTCCCGGGAGGAGCCCGGCCAGCGCCCCGGGCGCCTGAAGGACACCGGCGCGGGCCGCTCCCGGGGCCTCTCCGGGGGACGCCGGCGGCTCCCCGCGCGGGGCCCGGGGGCTGTGCTTTGTGGGAGTTGTGGAGCACGGACACACTCGAGGGAAGCCGCGTGGGGCTCGCTCACTTGGAGGAATTCCACCGGAGAGCGAAAGTAACGCGGCCGTAACCGAAGGCGAGCACAAAATGACAGCGGAAAGCACTTTGTGTCCTTTTGTTTGGGGAAGCGAGAACTGTTTGGGAGTCTAACTTCCCGGGGGGGGGCAGTGGGGGGCGAGCACGAAATACCGCGAGGCCGGCGCTGCGCCGCTGCCCGAGTTTCTGGGAACTTCGGCGGAGGGCTGCGCCCGGACGCTGGGGCCGAGTCGGCGGGACGGGAGACCGGCCACCGAGAGACCGGAGACTCGGCCGAACAGCCTCCCAGGTGGATGTGGGCGCGGAGCGCGACGAGATCGGCTCGGCCCGTTCGGGGGCTTCTGCGCAAGTTCTCGGGCAGCGGCCCGGCGGCGTCCTCGCCGGCGGCTGGGAACGCTCGGGCGCCGCAGGGAGGAGAGGACCAGCGGCGGTCTGCTTTAAAAACGGACTGGCAAGGGGTTTCTTTTTGTGTCCGGCAGCGTCGGAGGAGGAATGTTGAAATAAAACGGAAAAGTGGGTGTTTTTAAGAGATGAACAATGGACTGGAGGGTTTTTACAAGAATTTGGAGATTTTTGAAGTCGAGCTGGGGAAAACAAACCCGAAGCTTAAGAGAGATGGAATGTCACTAAAGAACAAAAGACCGGAAACGTTTCTGTGGTGAAAGATGGTTCAAGAGGACTCCCAGGAGCTTTTGTTGTCAGGAAAGTCACAGAAACAGTTTCCAAGTGCAGAGCAGGTCTTGCCGAGCTCTCGCCTCCGCCTGCGAGGCTGGACCGCAGCAGCGGCCGCGCTGGAACGGGCTCCCCGCCGCCGGAGCGGCCCGGCTGCCGATCGCCAGCTGCGCCCGAGAACACGCGAGCTGTCCCTTTAAGGGGGTTCTGCTGCTCCTACTTGGGTTGGCCTTTGAAAGATTGTGGAGGCAGAAAACTTTCTGGAATGTCACAAAAAAAAAAAAAAAAAAAAAATGCTGGAACTCTTGAGTCGGGCATTTCCAAATGTGAGCGCTAAGGGGCGCCAGTTATTGTTTTTAAAATAGAAATGATTGGAGCAAAATGTGAAACACACCAAGTAACCTCACCTGTGTTAAATTTAGTTGAAACTTAGCTCATAGAGTATTTCATCTGTAGTTTGTGTCCATATGTGTATTTGCAAACATTAAATATGCTATTTTAATGTTTGCAAGTACATTCTTATCACATTTCAGAAATAATATGCTATTATTTTCTACGGGGCATATTTCGGTGAAGTTAGAGGCCCCCCCTTTAAGAACAGTTGTTTAAAAGGAATCCTTTATAGACGTTAAAGTGAAAATTGGTCATGACGATATTTAGGATTAGAGTTTAATTGCATTCTTTAAATTAAAATGTTGAATTCAATAAATGGCATAAGATTATAAAAACGGGTTTGAAAATATTTTCACCTTACGTGTATTTAAAAAAAGTGAATTTGAGTTTTTCTGATTAGTTCTAAAATGCTCTCATACTATGTTGATCTAAAAAACTGTAAATGATAATTTGGCGTTGGTTCTCTGTTAGAAAGTTTTCGACGTTTAGCTTCGATCATTTTAATTTTCCAGATCTAGAATTCCAATTATGTCATTGTCTCTAACAAATGTTTGTTCATTTCTCTGGTTTAAATGCAGGGAGAACAGCTAGATGAGGGTGATACATTTCTAAATAGTAGTGTGTGTGTATATATACATTTTAATGTGGTTTACTCCATTAGTTTTAGTCTATCCTGTTTTAGCCTTTTCAACTCCCCAGAATAAAGAGAGCTTCTGTATAGTAGCCAGGATCTTTAAAAAGGACAGCACAAAATGACTAGGAAGTTTGATTTTTTTTTTTTTTTATCAGTACAAACATGCAGGAAAAGGGGCTATTCCTTAGTGTGGGGTAAGGTGCTTCCTGTAATTGTTAGCCTTATTATAAACTTAATTTGACTGAAAAAAAAATTGATTTCTGAAGTGCATCATTTTTTTTTGTGTGTGTGCCAGATTATTTAATTCTGAAATTTGGCAAGTTGTGCTTTGCCCCTCTGTGGCTTGTCATTGTCCAAAACAAATTAATCATCACTTCTATTTGTGGTGAGGGATTACATTTTCCTTTGTTCATAGGATTGACTGAAAAATTCTTTTTAAATTTAGATAAAACTGTAAATTGTAACCAAGATACTGTACTTAGTTGCAATGGATGTATTTACCGATAACTAGAAATTTCGAGTATAGTATTTTTGAAATTCCATATTAAAATATTTTTCAAAAGTAAGTTTTAAAAATTTTGGCTTGTCAGTTTGAAAATATTTATTTGGCTAATTGCAAATTTGAGATTTCGGTGTTCTAGATTTTCTTAGACCATAATACCTGAATGCTTTAGGTGAGTGTTTTAATTCCATTTCAGGTTAACCTACCTTTTGACTATAGACTATCTTTTATTGGGGGGTAGAGAGAGGTGGAATGGTGGACATTCCTCCCACAGAACTTCAACCTGTTTGTTGTTTAAAGTTGTGAGTACATTCTAAGTTTGAACAGTCATATAAAGAATGTAACTTCAGTTGATAATTCCAATACTTAAGAATCTCTCATTGAAGATAGAGATGATTACAGATGAAACAGAAGTCTTAAAGTCTTAAACTGCTGTCTTTAGGAGGGTTTTCAACTGAACTTTGGGATCATCCATGGGAAAGAGTAGTTGAAAGGTTTTTGTTTTATTTAAACCTTTGTCATGACATGAAACCTAAGCAGCAACAGTACTTGAATGAAAATTCTGTTTCTATGAAGTATTGTAATTTAGAATTAAGAAGAATTTTATTGAAAAATAAATCAATTTGACTTAAAAATCCCAAATAGGGGAAAATGGAGAGCTAGGGATTTAAAAATCAGATTTTGAGCTTTTATTTTTTAGGCAGAGGAGAGGTTAAAAATTCTTGATATTGAAAATTAACAGATGCATAGTATGGTGTATGAGGACGGCCACCCTAAATCTTTTTATCATGACTATCTGAAAAATTAGTGTGTGGCTTAGTAACAGTGAGCCAATATGTTAGATTAGATTCTGCATTACTGGTTTGAAAAATGTATTTTCATTTTCTCCTGGTCCCACCAAAAAAATGGTGGGAGATAATATATTTTCTTTTTGACTTCAGCTTACTGTGCTGTCCCTTAAACATGTGGGCAAAAATATTTTAAATTAAAACCCATTTTGCTAGTTAACATTTCTCCATGTTGATGTTTATTTTCACTTACTATGCATTCATTATTGACTGTATAAAACCCTCAGTTTTCTAATACTTCAGAGATTTTTAAAGAAATCTTGCTTGTCTGAAATTACCATTAATTTGAAAATTAAGTGGCTGTTGGTTAGTATTGAGAGGATTCTTGCTATATACATTTAGTACAATTTTAGGGTATTCTTTCTTGAAAGATTGTTGACAGTAATCAATGTGTGTGACAAGTAGCTTTTACTTAAGTTAAAGCAATTAATCTGTCTTTTTTTTAAATCTGTTTTTTAGGAGCAAAGATTTTGCATGTATGCCCAGCCCTTTGACTTAGTAGTAATAAGGAGCCAATATTTATAATCAGTTGTTCTTTCCATTGTCCTTTTCACCCCTCACGGAGGAGGTGTCCCAGCTCAGTAAGGTAATGATCTGTACCTTAGGTCACAGGCTCAGCGTTCGTTCTGTGTTTTGGAAGCGTAATTCCCCCGCAGTCAGCATACGTATTCAAATACTATGAGGTTCTAGAAGGTGACTCCTTTTTCTCAACTTTCTCAAATTTATATGTTTTGTAGTAAAAACTGTACTCCCACAGATGTGATGTAATTGAGTTAATAGAAATAGGTTTCTTTGCTAATAGCATTTGCTGGTGTGTTTGATACGAGCACCTTTTTTAAAATGGCTTTGAGACTATCAGTGTAAACAATTACCTTGGCTTTTTAAATGTTTTGTACACATATATTTCTGTTATTAGCCCCTCACTAAGTCACTGTCCCGAAGCTGATTGAAGTGCATCATTTTTCCATAAGAACAAATGGTTTTGGTTTGCCTTTAAGGGAAATAGATTGCTGCAACAAAACCCAAGTGTGCTAAACCCCCATTCCCTCTGCTTTGGCCTCGCCTTTATTGGGGCGTGATTCAGATACTCCTTTTTTTTTTGAGGCCAGTTTACTTAGATATGTAAAGTTTTTGTTTTGTTTTGCATTTTGACTTTTTTTTTGTTATAAAGAATCATAGCGGTTTGATCATAAGGGCAGCTTTTCATAATCTGACTGGAATGGAACTACATTTTAATTTACTTGCGAAGGTCCATGTAGTTAATACAATTTGTTTGATTTATGGTGTACTGGTAGGTAAAACTTCCCTTTCTCTGTTGGAGATGGACAATGCCATGCCATTGTTACTCTTTATTTCTTGATAATTTAAAAAGCAGCCCACTGAGCAACTTTCTGCTGTCTGTATGCTAGCTCCTGTGCAGATACGCAGCGTCTGTTCTGGGCCAACGGCCGGGGGTAGTGCGTGGGCCTATGTCATGACGTCATAAATGGACTTACGCACCAACTTTTTTATTTACATGATCGACAGGACTTAT